TGCATGTTTGTGACACTCTATATATGTTATCTTCCAGCTTGAATCAACGTCAAGTTTAATTGCAAACCCTCCCTCTTCCTCTTACACAAAACGAATTCAAAATCATTTCATTTACATTAACAAATGATATATTTTTTAAAAATTGTATCAATTAGAAAACCATTAAGAAAACATTTTTTTAATTTAGAAAACGAAAAATTGAAAAAAAAAATAAATAAACAAAATATTGAAATAAATTGCAGTTTAAAAATTTATGATGTGATACAAAAATCTTCAAGTATAAAAAAAAAAAAATAACACAAACTTCACGTTACCCATACTCATAAAAATGATATACTAAGGAGATGTATTGGGATTGTAAACATATTTTATAGAGTTTATAAGTCGTATATTTTTCCTATAAAACTATTTTCATGGCGTTTGAAAGCATGAAAAAAATATGTATTTTTTTTCTCAAATTGATTTGCATTTTTTTTTATTATTGTAATAAAAGCATAAATGAAAAAATATTTTTAAAAAAAACTTAATGGCAAAATATTGTATTGCTTTTTTAAAAAAAAAAAAATTACTTTAATGCGAAATTATTTAAGAGAAAGACTTTTTGAAAAAAAAATGAACGCGAGTTATTAAAAATTCTACAAAAACCATTTAAAATATCAAAGTAATAATAATTTGAAAAGTTTTGCGGTGAAAATAATTTTAAGATATAGAGATGGAAATTTAACTAAAATTATGTGAAGGATAAAATACCTTGACATTGGCCTACTTTTGAAATAATTCATAAAGGGGGAGGGGGGGGGGGAGATAAATCCTGATACTCTTCCCTTTAGCCTTGATATTCACTCAACTAGTTTAATCTTTCACATATTGATAATTCACTATTCGCAAAATACAATTTAAATAATGCAAACATGAAAAATTTAAATTTATCTCATAAAAAAAAAATTTTTTTTTTTTTTAGACTTTCTAACAATATGAATATTTAATAATACATGACCTTTTTGAAAAAGAGAATAAAATATTTTCCTCTTCCTGCATAATAATAAATGATAAATCATAAATATATATATCTATATAAAAGAAAAAAAAAGCGTGAAAATTAAAATTCCTTTTCGTATTAAGAAACCACCAAAGTTTAAAAGTTTTTCTCTTATAACATTTAGCACCCGATTTTCTTTCTTTAAAAGTTAAAATCTAGTCATTACTCAGAGTGCTTCTCAATTTACGATTTTGAAGTTAAAAAAAAAAAAAAAAAAAAAAAAAGGAAAACTTATTTTCAACTTGAGAAAAAATTGGAATTTCAAAGTATCTCTCAGTTAACATAGTTTAAAGTTAGCCTCTAAATGAAAAAGTTTTAACAACAAAAAATAGATAAAGATTGAACAAATGAAACAAAAAAAAATTTAATTATTATTAATTGAAAACTATTTTTGGAATTAAATACGGATTTTCTTTTTCTCAGAGTGGAAAATAGAACTTTTTTTTTGTTATAGAAAAGAAGGAAGAGAAAATAGGTAAGAAGGAATAGATGACAATGGTTCAAGTCTATATGTATATAGAAGAGAGTTGGTGAAAAGTCAAGCAAGCTTTCCTAGTTGGCACACGACGACATTACCATATATATATATATATGTGGATGTATATCCACACGAAGATAGCAGACTTGAAAAGAAAAGAAAGCTTAAATAATGCAAACGGAGGATGGGTTGTAATGAAATGAGAAATGAAAAGCTACGCCTATATAGCGACCTAAAGGCACTGTTATCATTTAATATTTTCTCGCCCAAGCAAAGAATTATTCCACACGAAACAGTTCTATTATTATTATTTTTTTTTTCTCTCAAAAGATCATATAGATATGTCTAATTCTATTTTAATCTTCTATTTAAATTTTCCTCCAAAATAAGCTTTTCATTAAAAAAAAAGCCACAAATAAATTTTCATAAAACACAAATTTTTTTTTGGAAAAATTATTTTCCAAGTCTATTTTATAATTGCTTAATATCGTCAGCTTAATCAGCAAATCTCGTAACTCCATTTCATGCAACTTTACAGGAGAGCAAAAAAAAAAACTGTTTATAAACAATAAATAGTAAAATATGTATTAATTTAATTAGATATGTTAAAAGACTCCTTTTTTATATTTTATATGAAAAACTTAAACTATACTCTTTTTACAACTGTTTATTCTTTTAATTTTAGGAATTATGAGGTAAGTACTTTACACAAACTAAAATTTTCAGGAGTTACGAGGTAAGTACTTTGCACAAATATAAATTTGAAATAGTACAACCAGACATTTTTCTGTGTGTATACAACCTAAAATACATATTATTTTATATTTAAAATTTGTCAATTTTTGAAATAATTTAAAATTTAAATTAAAATTTATTTGCTATTCTCAATATATAGTATAGTATCAATATATAGTCATTACTTTAATAATGAGATAACTTTAAAACAAAAATTCTTCAATTTTAAGGGAAAGCTAAAAACTTTTTACCTTTATAAAATTAGTGAATTAAAAAAGAATATAAAAACTTTACTCCTATTATATAAATAATTATTTATTTAAATTAATTTTATTATAATTATATACCCATAAGACAGAGCAACCAAAATTTGGTTGGGCCAACAAAACAATTTTGTTGGTATGCCAGGTCCAAGTGAGGCAGCGCCATTTACATTAAAACTATAATTTTGGAAAATTTTCAACAGCCTTTTCTCGAAAACAAGAAGGTAAAATGCGTTTTTCTTTATGGATAATTGATTATTAACAAGTAATACACCAGCTAAAACTTTTTTTGGGTTAAAATGATGAAAAAAATTTCATGTCGATAAATTAAATATGAGCAGTTTTTCAACAAAAACTGTAACAGTACTTTCTCGGAATTAACAATTAAGAATACAATTTCCATTTGGAAAATTAATAAACGTTAAACAATACACCAGCTAAGATTCACCAATCACGAAAATAACAACAAAAAATTTTATTATATATTTAACATAAATGGACACTGTTTTACTGATTGTGACAGCCCTTTGGTAGATTATGTATTTCGGGTAGTTAGCAACAGCGCCAATCTTCTCCTTTCGGCAAAATCGCGAAACGTCTGGTGTCATATTTAACCTGCCAAACGGCTGTCATAATTAGTAAAATATGTTATGTTAAAAAACATTTTTTTTTTGTTATTTTCGTGATTGGTAAATCTTAGCTGGTCTGTATTTTTTAGCGTTTATTAATTTTCAAAATGGAAATTACATTTTTTATTGTAATTTCTGAGAAAGTATTGTTACAGTTTTTGTGAAAAAAGTGCTCATATTTAATTTATTGACATGAAATTTTTTTCATTATTTTAACTCAAAAAAAGTTTTAGCTGGTGTATTTCTTGCCAATAATCAATTATCCATAAAAGAAAAAGCATTTTATCTTCTTGTTTTCAAGAAAAGGCTGTTGGAAATTTTCAAAAATTTTAGTTTCGATGTAGATGGCGCTGCCTCACTTGAACCTGGCCTTAAGCTATGAGCTGAGAGCGAATCAAATTATTTGGTTTTCGGAACCAAATTTTGGTTAGGACAACAAACGATCATTTGGTTTTTCAGACTAAACTATTTTGTTGTGTTAACCAAATTATTTTGTTGTCGTAACCAAATGTTGGTTGGAATTTAAAAATGTTCTATCAAATAATTTTGTTGGCCTAACTAAATGTTTGGTTGAGATAACTTTACGAGTTTGTTTCAGCCAACCAAAATTTGATTACAAGAACCAAAATTGCCTAACCAAACAATTTTGTTGCAAACACTAAATTTTTTTTTCTTAGTGTATAAATTTTAAATAAAAATTCATGAATTTTAACATTTAAGACATTATAACACTGGTATTTTTTTGTTAACATCAGTTGCTTCAATTTTGACAGTTTTCCGCAAATCTTGAAAAATTATAGATAGAGTTACGAGATTTGCCATTAAAACTTTTTTGCAGTGGAGTTACGAGATTTACTGGGTTGAATTTTTAAACTACATTTATTCTCTCTAAATATGAATCAGTGAAAAAGTCACTGGTCTCAAATCAGCCGCTAAATTCTAGCTATTTGAATCAGTGTTTTTCACTGACATTTCACTGGAGAATCAATTACTTTGACTGAAAATCAGTGAAATGTTACTGATTCAAATATAGCTAGAATTTAGCAATTGATTTGAAACCAGTGACTTTTTCACTGATTCAAATTTAGAGAGTTGATTAGGAGTCATATAATTTAAAATGCATATATGTGTAAAGAATCGAATAATACAAAAAAGTAAATTTTGACCAAAATTGGAGTTACGAGGTTTTCTGATTCTGACGATATATAGAAAAAATTTCTAATAAACATTTCAATATAAGATTTTAATGTTGAATTAGATTTTAAATATTTGCAATTCAAGAAAATTATTCCCTCCTGCATATTACTCCTTATATATATACAAGAAAATTTCTTTTTAGAAAAGATGGTTCGCAAAAGCATCAGAGAAGGATAATCTTTCTTGCACAAAGGACTCACAGTCTGCCTTCTTTGAAATTCCGAGTACATGTTCGCGAAACGATTCGGAATTCAGTCTCGAAAAGCTGAGGGAAATCTAACGGAACGAGTGCATCTGAATGGAATCGTACATATTCCACTAAACTCAGTTTAGTCTTGCAAATAATAATAATAATAATAAAAGTATTGAACCATGCACAAATAATGTTAAATTTTTTTCTTTTTAAGAAAAATTAAAATTTAACTTCTCTATAATGTCTTTTTTGGGGTGTTTTTTTGGGTTAAGGTAATCATTGTTATAGCAACGGTTATCATAAATTTATCAATTAATATAATAACTGTGAAACCATTCAATAAGCTTGCTAATTTTTTTTTCAAAAGAAACTATATCTAAATAATTGCAACGAACAGAAAAACTCAAAATTGAAACGAAACAAAGGAAAAAGAATAACCAACGAAATAAAAACAAGAGAATAACAATATCTCAACGAGTGAGACTTACCTTTCGTTGATATTGTGAGCGAGAAATGACTTGGGCAAGGAGAGTGACCTCTGTTGTGGATCTAAAATGACATCACTGGGCAATGAATTTCCCCTTTTGGCAGGTGCACTTCCAGGTCTTGATAAAATTCCATCACGTGGTGGTTCGATTAATGTCTTCAATGATCCAGCCATTGCGTCCTCCATTGGCGTTGATGCACCCGAACTTTTGGCATTTTTTGTTGTTGTTCGATCGGAAGTTGTCACCCAAATATCACTACTCGATGATGATGATGATGATGACGAGGAGGAAGTTGGTGATATTGCAATACCACTTGGTGATTTATTTAAACACTTGATTTGATTGGGAGAAACTTTTCTTTCTGTCTTTTGAAGAGCGTCAAAATTATTTCCAATTTCTGATTTTCGATAATCCCTTTTATCGGAATTCATTACATTGTTTGTTTCATTCGAAGTCCAACGGGAGGGTTTTAAAACGCCTCTTGGAACACGTTCCTGATACTTGGGACCACCATTAACATATCTTTGGTTATTTTTTCTTGAATTTTCACGTTCTCTTGTGTCTCTGTCATCCATTCTTTCAAGTGAAGCCGGAGAAGAACATGCACTGCCTCTATTAACTTGACTACCAGTTTCAGAAGTCATTCTCTGATGAGCTGGATAACTCTGTGATACTTTCATAAAAACTGGACCTTGACTTGGTGAATAGATATTATCTCTTTGAGTGCAATGAGGCCAAAAATCACAAATACTACTGTTACATCGTATTTTTGACTCTGGACTTAATGTAAAATCATGATTTGATGTAGAATTTGTAACAGGTGTTGTTACACCACGTTGTAAAGTTTTTGGTCTTTGTTGTTGTTGTTGGGTCGGTGTATTGTTTGTTTTAATTGATTGCGATTGTTGCTGTTTCGATGATATAAAATAAACATCATAAGAATTGGAATTATTTTTCCGTTGTTCTGAATTGTCATTTAGTCCTTCCAAACGACATGTAGGACGATTGCGCGCAGCGACACGTTTACCAATACCGTAAAGAAATTCTGTAATTAAATCCTCACTCAATGTATCCTCGGTGGACTGTGCTTTTCCTAGAGAAATAGGAGGAATAAATGTAGTTCGAAAACAAAAACCATTTAAAAAAAAAAAGTAAGTTCAACAAAAAGCTGTACGATAAAACAATTGGAGTTTAATTTTCTCTCCGTTTAATAAACCAAAATTCAAAAACTAAACAATAGCCATGCGAAAGAAACGAAAAATATATTAACATACTGTTAGGTAAGGCGTGTCGCTTCTGTGTGCCTCTCTCGTTAGTCTTGACGGATCTGTGATCATTTGGTCCAGAAGTGTTTGGAGACTTTTTTTCTGGTAATTGAAGACTTCGGGAGCGTCGTACTCGAGATTGAAGTGAATCAGGCGATGAGGTGATATTTCTCGTGTTTTGTTGTCTAGGCGTTGTTGTACGTCTGAAGTTTGGTGAACGTGCCTGACGTTCACTTGAAGTCGATGACGATGATGATGATGAAGAATTGAAAGAAATTTGTTTTCCGGATTCAGAAGAGCCGGGAGATCTTCTTAGGGTTTGTTGACCACGATAATGTCTATTCTGTCGACTACCGGGTGATATTCTTTCACCATTGGCACGAATTGATTCATTTGATGAGTGTAGTGGAACAATAGTTGGTGAAATTGTACTTAAATCATCTTCATCATCATCGTATCCCTCTACAGATGAATCTGTATTTTCAGCTAATCTTGGCATTGTCGTTCGATTCATACAACTGTCAAGGCTTCTAAATCCCATTGAAGAGGATGATGAAGAGGAGGACTCCATGTATCTTTGAGCAAACTGACTTCTTCTTGAAGACGACTGATCTTCGAGGGATTTGGCTTGGGCCATACGATATTGTTGAGACTGGATATTTGGTGTCTTGCGAAGTTTATTGGCAGAAAGAGTTGTGGATTTTCGCGATACGGAAGATGGTAGTGAACTCCAATTTCTTGAATGAGGTGGTGAGGGTGGTGGGCTGATTATGTCGCTATCTACAATGGCGTTTGAACGTGGTAGAAATGGAGCTTTCGGATAGGTTGCATTAGACATGTGTCTTGATGAAGATCTTTTGCCAACGTCTTGAAAAGCTGGCGGTGGAGAGATTATGGGTGTCAGTGAGGGTGGTGAGAATGATTCGGGTATATCATGGGGTGAGGAACAATTACTAGGTGGATCATAATCACCACGACGATTGTGAAGGGCAAGATAATCGGGTCTTTGTGATTCGAGACGTGAAAAATCGGGACATTTGCCCGGTTCACTTTTGCTGCAATGATAGTCTGCTAATTTTGTTCTTCGTGCCAGTGGTAGTGTACCAACATTGTTTCCAATTTTGTTTGCATAGTTGGTTCTTCTATCGTCAAGTGATCTCTGTTGGACTTGAACCCAACCTGACCTACCAAGATAAACACCGTCTACTTCGTGTTCACACCAATGAACAGGAGACAATTCACGACTACAGCTACCGCTGACAAAAAGATCACCAGATGAACCACTGGCTCCTGATAGAAAATTGGCCACAGTATCACGACGTCGTATTTGATTTTGTCCATCTTGACGTTGTTTAAGACTATTGGTTTTCGATGAGATTTGCGACTCGTGTCGCTTGAGAGAGGGTATTGAACTTCCACGGCTATAGCCACCGCGTGTATTTGCAATAGATTTTCCTCTAGATGATGCTGTTAGACTTTTTGTACTTCCAACACTGTATGCAGAACCTTGGGAACTGACTTCCCATGGATCTGAAGTTCCGCGCAGGTGTAGAATTGATAGATTCGTACCCCTAGAATCAGAAAGCGATCGGTTTCACCTTCTGTCATGTTGACAATTAGAATTTCAAAGTGTAGATTTTATTGACTTTTAAAATTCTTTTTTTTTTGTTACTTTTTTTATGTATGACATTCGTGTTTGCACTCAAATTGGAAGATAGCTCTCATTGAATAAATAAAAAAACAAACGAAAGAGAAAAGTGACAAAGTTGTTATCGAGGGAGAGAACATCAAAGAGTGATCTACTGCTGAAGCAGTAGAGAGTGAAGAATTATTTACACAACTCGTGCTTTCTGCATCGTACAATTTTTATTTGGCTTTGAGAAAATTGTACTTTAACGAGACTTCTCAAACGTCTATTCCGTAAGTTAGCAAGAGATGATCCCATGATATTTTTAGGTTTCAACTTGTCGTTGATATATACTCGAAACTAAATTCCGTTGAAATTCACACTTGGTAACAATCAAAATTTAATTTTGAGAATAGAAATCAAAACTGTCGCATCAACTAAAAGATATAGTGGGCGTGATTTACATCACAATGCTAATTTTCGTGGATAAAATATTCAATGTCAGGCAATCACCTGCGCCCACGTATGCCTTTAATATTAATCTCACCATAGAATATTCAAATGGACCTAATGATTTAGTTTTTCTTTTTATAAAATTACAATTTAATGCGTAAATTTTCAATGATAAATTATATTACATAATAATATTGTTTTTCTTTCCGACAAAAAAAAATGTTCTATTTCTTTCTGCTTTTATAATATTGCATCTTGCCCTCAGACAAAAAAGGAAAAAGTTAACAATTCTTGGTTTGGAATACCAAGGCATGAAATCAGATCATATTTATTTTGTTGCATGATCGATAGTGGGAGCTTACGTCTTATATTGGCACTGGCGTATTTCTTATTTCTATCTATATAGAAGGAAGAGAAGAAGGTAGCTTTTCTTCAAGATCAATTTCTTTTTCTGGTTATTGTGAAGATGTCAATAACCAAGAAAGAAAGAAAAAAAGAGTTTTTTTTCTAATATATATACCAAATGGAATATCAAAAAATTTATTACCTCAGAGAACGTTCATTAAAATTGAAAAATATATTTATATTTTTAATAAAGAAAGCATTGTCTCTAAATCCTTTTATATACGATATAATTTAGCTGTTCTGAGTGAAGAAGTTCATTTGGAAGTGCCGCAGGGAAATTGAGGTAAATTCAAACTGTTTCTGAAGATCATTAATGACATGATAAACTTCCTCACCTGAGTGAACGCGTACCAATGAAGTTAGAATATACATATATAGCGAACGATAGATACCCTTGCCTTGAGAATCGAATTCAATGCAAAGACTTACGGCGCATTCAATGTCTGACAACCATTGTTTGTGGAGGTTATCAAAAAAAGAAAAAAAAAAACCTAACAATGAAGACATTAAGTCCAGATTCTGAGAACTGGAGCTTCTAGATCTCCTATTAAATTTTACGCTCAATAAGAGAAACTATATATTAGTAATTTGAAAGTAAATTATTACCCTAAAATGTCAAAATTTATAATATCGACTTTTGTTCTAATAATTTATTTAGCGTCTTCTTTTTGTAAATCAAATTTTAAAAAACAATTGCAAAAAAAAATTATAAATATCTCCAGAAAAAAAAGAAAATAATATTCCACAGGAAATCTATAATATAATATTGACGTTTAAGAAAAAAAAGGTATTATTTCGAACGTAGGTTAATAAATTGAATAAAAATTAATTTCTACGGGGGGGGGGGATTTATTAAATCAGCGTCAGGGGAAAAAAGCGTCAATATTCTTATATAGAAGTACATATATATATATATATATATATATATATATATATATATATATATATGCCGAGGAGAAACTTATCGACCCGTCGTTTTCCAGCATCCCGCTAACCGACGAGGTCAATGAATGCGCATAACTGCAACGTTTCATAATTTATAAGATTTCGAGTTGCCCGTCTTCTTGTCATTTATCAATTATTATCAATAAAAATTGAAGATGAAAATATATTTATGGCCCAATTTTAAAATGACAAATACAGGCCTCGGATCGACTTAAAGGCACAAAAAAAGTTGTTTTAGTCGATTTATATTCCAAAAAAAGTCAAAAAAGTCGATTTTTTTTTATTTTAACAAAAATATTTTACAGATTTTTAAATAAAAAAATTTTTTTTTTAATAATAATACTTTTGGAAGGGTTTAAAGTTTAAATTTTTTTTAGAAATAATTGAATTTTAAAAGATTTTGTTAATTTTCAAACAATAATTAAATTTTACAAAACTAAAAATAATTTATCAAATAATTTCAGATAACATTTTTTAAATTTAATTGAATTTTCAAAGATTTACAATTGAGATTTTTAAAATTAATTGAACTTCAAGTGATTTTTAATTAACAATTTTAGATGATTTCACTAAAAAATTTATTAGAAATTACGAACAAAAATACAATAATTTGAAAACCATTTTTAATTGAAAAATGATTACAGATAGTTGAATTTTCAAAGAATATTATAAAAATAGTTTAAAAATATTGAATTTCCTTAGAGTTATCATTGAAATTGTTAAATTTTAAAAAATTTTCGATGGAAAATTTTAGAAATAATTAAATTTTAGAAGTTTTTAAAATCAAATTATTGAAAATAATTGAATTATAATTGAAATTTTGGATAATAATTCAATTTTAGATGATTTTTGATTGAAAATTTTGATAATAATTAATTTTGCATTAAAATTTTTGAAAATAATTGAATTTTAGTTGATTTTTAATTGAAAATTTTGATAATAATTAATTTTGCATTAAAATTTTTGAGAATAATTGAATTTTAGTTAATTTTGAATTGATAATTTTGAAAATAATTGAATTTTAGTTGATTTTGAATTGAAAATTTTGAAAATAATTGAATTTTCTTTGATTTTGAATTGAAATTTTGGGAAATAATTGAATTTTAATTGAAAATTTAGATAATAATTAATTTTGCATTAAAATTTTTAAGAATAATTGAATTTTAGTTAATTTTGAATTGATAATTTTGAAAATAATTGAATTTTAGTTGATTTTGAATTGAAAATTTTGAAAATAATTGAATTTTCTTTGATTTTGAAATGAAATTTTGGGAAATAATTGAATTTTAATTGAAAATTTTGATAATAATTAATTTTGCATTAAAATTTTTGAGAATAATTGAATTTTTGTTAATTTTGAATTGAAAATTTTGAAAATAATTAAATTTTATTTGATTTGAAATTGAAAATTTGGAAAATAATTGAATTTTAGTTGATTTTGAATTGAAAATTTTGAAAATAATTGAATTTTCTTTGATTTTGAATTGAAATTTTGGGAAATAATTGAATTTTAACTGAAAATTTTGGATAATAATTTAATTTAAGTTTATTTTTGATTAAAAATTTTGATAATAATTAATTTTTAATGGAATTTTGGATAATTATTGAATTTTAATTGATTTAAATTGAAATTTTGGGTAATAATTGAATTTTAAAAGATTTTAAATTGAAAATTTTGAAAATAATTGAATTTTATTTGATTTTGAATTGATTTATGATTTTGAATTAAAATTTTTTGATAATTTTATTTGATATTTTTTTAAAATTATAAACAATTGTTAAATTTTATAAAAATTTTAATTGAATAATAATTTGAAATAATTAAATTTGTGATGAATTTCATTAAAATTATTAAAAATAATTAATTTACTGAAGAATTTTAGTTAAAAATTTATTAAATAATTGAAATAAAGAAGATCTGAAGAAGATATGCATTTTATACTAAAAAAATATATTTTATTTAAAAATTTGTTTAAAAAATGTAAAAAAAAAAGTCGCATTTTATTAAAATAAGTCGAAAAAAGTCGAAAAAGTCGTATAATCCGAGGCCTGCAAATACAATCAAATTTAGGACCAAGAGTTTACCTTCTTGTGGACATAATTCTTTTTTGTTCATAAACAAACAAAAAATTATTATACACTATTAATAAACAAAATAAATATAAAATTTGAACAACGATATTTTTTTCAACAATTATACTTCTTTTTTAGATAAATTTTTGAAATTTGAAAAAAAGGGTGTCACTACTATTATGTGGGAATTCGAAGCACTTTCGCTGCTCGACGACAACATCGCGCGATACCGGTCAACTAACGAGAAAAGGGGGCCTTTTCTTGCTCGCGCGCGTAAATCACGTGATATGAAAAAGAAAAAAGAAAAAAAAAAAAGAGAGAAAATATTCGTTCTTACCTGTCTGATCGCAACGCTGGGCCCTGATTGGTGATCTCTGTTGAATCGGCGGCAGGATTGACACGACGAGAAGCCATAATATGATTCGTTGATGACGACGAAGTCGAAACAGGTCCTCCACGTAGACCATCATCAGTTGAATGTTGTCTCGAAATTTGAGATTGCGATGTTTGCGATAGCCAACGTCTTGGCGTGACTCTTGATATTGAACCTGTTCCTGACAAATATTGATGACCAAAAGCCCCACCACTGTCCAATGATTTACTCTGAAATTATCAATTAAATGATATATAGCTAAAAATCATGCTTTGAAATAAAAAATTGTTAATAAAATTAATTTAGATAGAAATAAAAATAAGAAAATTTATCCAAATAATTATTATTGTACTTTCTCATTGAATTTAGCTGTGAGAAAATTGATATAAAATAATATATAAACGATTAAATACTCTTTTTCAAAGCGAGAATAAACTTTTGTTCAGTGACCTAAAACCCATTTCCTTTTATTTCTTTTTTTTTTTTGCATCAAAATCAACTTGATTTTGTTTTTTTTTTTTTTTAATTCCAAAAAGAATATCCAATTAGACAAAACGGAACATTTCTCCAATATGAAATTATATCAAATCTGGACATCGACAGGTTTTTGACGAATTTTATCTTCTTTTTGTAAATAAACAAAAATTTTCCCAAAAAAAGTTTAATAATAAAAAAAAAATTGAATATTTTTTTTTAAATAAAGATATAAAGAGAGTGAGAGAGAGAAAACGAAATATTTGATTAACTCGTGAATTTCAGGTTTGAAATAGATTGAATTTGTCATGTGAAGTAGAACGAAGACTAAATTGTTTAAATTTAACAAAAGCAGTCGCTCCGCCGCCGCGGGACTATTTCCGAATATGGTAATAGAAACATGTATCGACTGCGCAACTTATTCGCAAATGAAAGTATTTTCATTTAACCTCCAAAGATTTTACACACACAGGCACAATTATTCTCGTTTCTTTGCTCAGAAAAAAAATTTTGCTTCGAAACAATCAAATTTTCTTTAAAATAAACCAAATTTTGAATCAACAAAAATTTTATTTCCCTCAATAAAATTCTTTCTTCGTTCAAGAAATTTTTTTAAAATAAATCAAATAAATGTTTTTTTTTTTTTGATGAAATAAATATTTATTTGAATCAAATAAAACTTTTCTCTGAATAATGTAAAGAAACAAAAAAAATGGTTTGAAACAATTAAAATAAATATAAAAAAAAAACAACAACTCACATTGAGATGATTTTTTCGATTTGTAGAAGAATCTGGTGATGAACCACGAGAATATGTTCGTGAAAAGACATCGGCTAATTTAGATCTATTGGGATTTGAATTTCCCTTGGATTTATTTTGTGGCGAGCCATCTGATGTATTTGAATTGCCGCTTTTGCTTTCACGAAAAACGAGATGCTCTATATTTGGCGTATATCCTGGATCATTTCTTACAATATCTTGAAGAGTTATTCGACTTCCAGTGCTGGAACCTCCATTACTGTGAAAAAGAAAATAAAAAAAATAAATAAATAAAAAAATAAAATAGTTATAGAAATCCATTATGAACAAGTTGACAAGGACAGAAAACTTATATCAATAGAGTGTGTATTCAAAAAGATTCATAGGAAATAACTTTAAAAAAAGTTTTCTTTCCAAACTACTACCATCAATTTAAATTGGAAAACGTAATAATGTTAAAAATTTTTATATTCTTATGAAATCAAAGAAAATTTCTTTACTTCAAAAATTTTTAGTCATTTATTTTTAAGTTTACTGTTATTTATTATTTCTATAAACAATAAAATAAAAAAAAAAAAAAAAAGAAAAGAAAGAATTGTTCATTTTATTATCAAATAAAAGGAAAAAATTTTTAAAATAGTGAGTTTTTTTTTTCTTTAGAAAATTTAATTAATTAAAAACAATAAAGTTTAATTAAAAATAGAAAGATTTTTTTTTCAAAACTCGAGATAAACATATTTTTTCCATTAGAAAAAACAAATGCCATGAATGAAGCATCAGTAACGCTTAATTAAAAATAATTGCGGTAATTTCAAATATAGTGGATGTACTTTCTTCGTTAGAGCTCACTTTTTTTTTCTTTTTTCAATAAATCGATTTATTCCATCAGCAAAAGTCAAACTGGGAACGATAATTTAAAATAGTTGAGACAAAATAATTATTTTAATTGTTTTTCTAACGCGATATTTAAAAATTTTATAAACAATTAATCAAAAAAAAAAAATTTCTTTTTATAAAATATTAAATTATATATAATTTTTAAAGTCTTATTTTTATATTTAAAATTTTAGTTAAATAAAAAACTGTTTTCAATGTTAAATTTTACTTATTTCCCAATTTTTTCCACTTTTGATATATTTTTTCTTTCCAATTACTCTACAATTAAAAATCTAGAATTTCATCTTATTGTTATATCGAAAACAAATTACAATTTCTATTGTTTCAGTAATATAGAAAAATTTCCCCCCCAAAAAAAGTGAGAAAAAAATATTTCAAATCTAAAATTTGAATATATACATCTAAATTATAATGAAAAAAAAAAAAAAAATTTTTCATCGTTTTCTCTCATGGGACCGTCAATCAGTGTCCGTGTCCAACATAATGATCCGTAAGAAAATGACGCGAACGATCATTGATGAAAAGTGACTAGCCTTAGGGGTTGTGCGCCACGGGATCTTGGGGCTGCTTTTAAATGAAAATTTATCGTGATGTCAAGGATCCAAAATTTATCGTCTATTGAAAAAAAAAAAAAATATATATATCGAATCTTATCCAGAATTTTAATGTCCTCTCTTAAAATTCTCAAGTTGTTACTAGTGATAATATACATTTACAATTAATTCTGTACACGAACCAAGGAAAAATTGTAGATTTAATTGAACAAAAGATGATTTGTTAAGTCTCGTGTTTTTTTTTTATCCTTTTAATGAATAGGAAAATTAAAAATTTTTCAATTTATAACATTTCCAGAAGCTCTTAAGATATTTTATTTTTAATTTATATTTAGAATTTAGAATTTATTTGTAAAATTTCAAAATTTGGATTTTCTAAAAATTATTGAAAAAAGTCACTTTCAGAAGAATTATTCTTTTTATATTAAAAAAAAAAAAAAAAAAAATTGAAGCTATTTTCGCTATTTATCGTCTGCTTTTGACAGGAGAAATAAAAAAAAAAAAAATCAATTATTTCCACAAACCTGGGTCCAAAATTTTGTTGGGTTCTCTGACCACGTCTTTTCCCGCTGCCACGACCAGGTTTGATATTGGTAACCTCGGCTAACTGCAGCAATCTGCTGCGATGCTGCCGTAGCAGCGGGTCCTCTCTTCTATTCATTTTATCCTATGTTCCTGGAATCCATTGGTTCCAGCATCCTGAAAAAGAAAAAACAATTGTTTATTGTTATAATATTTATTATTATTATTATTATTATTATAAAAAAAAATTGCCCTCTTTTTATTAATTAAGAAAAACATTTTTTGTGGTTTTCTTCTTGAGAAACAATTTGCCAAGTTTGCTTTTACTAATTAGAGATAGTTGAAGGGGAAAATAATGACTAGGATGTGTTTTGAAGATCTAGTTAATTTTGAAGGAAGATCTTGGTCTCATTAGGTCTAAGGTTGGGGTTTGTTTTTGAGTGTAGAATTGTTTAAGGAACCAAGATGACGTCAGTGTCACAAGTGTCAACTTGACAGTTTTGTCATCATCATCATCATCATCATAATAATCATTTCAGTCAAGTTCTCTGTAAATTTTCGACGTTGTTAATGCCAATTAACGTCAACCATTAAATTAGTAAAGGAGAACGTTAAGAGCTTCTCTCCACAAAGCTCACTGCATAACTTAATAATGTTCTACATCTTCCAACTCTCAAGCACCGTTTACATTATGTTTGTTTGTTCATACAATATCGTCAAAGTCATATTTTCTTTATATATTATTATTTTACAATTTAAAATTATTTATAATTAATATTTATTTATATAATTTCTTTTAATTTCTTTTAATTTCATTTAATTTATTAATTTATTATTTATACGATTCATCATCAAAAATAATTTCGGGGGGGGGGGGGGGAATAAAATAATTTTTTTTTTTCTCAAACTAAAAAATAATATTCAATTACACTTTTATTGATGAGAATCCAATATGTTATTTTGATTGTAGTTCAAATATCTATAAAATATAATTCGAAACAAAGGAAATAAAAAAGTAGGTTACTCGATTCATTTGTGTTCAATAAAAGATCAAATAGAGTATTTTTTTCTGTCAAATAAAATATAAGCCTATAGCTTATTTTATTATATTAGCCTAATTCTCAATATGTTTGTCAATATTTTAATTATCAAAAGAAATAAAAATAATTAAAAAAACAAAATTTTTTTATATCAAATATAAGAAAAATAGAAAAACGAATAAAGTGACTTTTACTTCGTATATTTATATATGGTTAATTTTTACTTCGAAAAAAAAGTAAAATTTACTCCTGAAATAGTC